CCGTTCATACTGCGTGCACTTCATTAACGATCAGGTGTGAATAGCAGTAGAAACCGCTAAAGTCTGTGGCCTTATCCTGTGCCCGTTTTATGACGAAATCTATCCTTAATTGAGCGTTGATGGCGCACTTAATAGCTCGGCCACTCGATGAAGGAATGGCTTGCTCTGTTTGTGCGCTTGAATGGATTTATTGGCCCCACTAAAGTCATTAGCACCAGTCATCGTCGCCGTCGTCCCCGTCGTCGCCGTCCCCGTCGTGCTTTGCAATACATTGCGTGTCGCGCTTGGCAACTCGCACCTGCACCTCGAAAGCAGTGTAATTGGGGCAATAATTTCATAAATGTGTCTAATCGTTATGCGGTCGCTTAACAGTCTAGCTGTACTGGAGCTGGAGCGGGGCACCATCAACTCTTATTGCAGTCGCACGGGTTGATAAAGGCGAAATCAAACGAAAACTTTTAAGCGGCTGACCGGACAAACGTTAGCTTCTTGATACAAGCAGTTTGCTGAGAAGGGGCAGGGCCTAAATGAATGTGTTGTGTATGTATCGTTTTTCAGGCGACATGCGTACAACTAGCATAGTCAGCGGTGGTGGTTGGCCAAACCCTCTCAGCGGCAGCCATGATGGTTCTGCTGCCATTGCGGCTGTGCATACACTCAGAGAAATTGTTTGGTAGGTAGAACGTTTTCCATTGGTCAGCTCAAGTTACTTTTATTTTAAATTGCAAATATTTAAAACTTTATATTGCGAGATACTAAGAATACGCAATTTATTAGCTGGTAATTTAAGTTTAGTGTTATGGTCATTTCTGAATATTTAAAATATATTTAAAATATTTAAAAATAACAATCAAGCAACAAAAGAATAGCGAAAAGTTTTTAAGCCTATTTAAACAAAGTTGTGAAAAAATAATACAATTAAATTCACTTAGGTTTACAGGTTCAAATATGAATAAAATGTACGAAAGAATTAAAATCTTTCAATTGGAGTTTCAGGGAAATAAATAAATAAGTAATAATTACAGAATGTTATCATATCAACGGTAGGTTGCAATTGGAGTTAAAAACTCTGTTATTTAGTACACTTATTCCCCGCTAGGGACGTTGGCAACTGTGGTTTGTGTATAGACTGCGCATTGACTTTAGTGCGCAGACTCGACGACAGAGCGCGCACTGGAAAATGTAGAGCTAAACAGTTCGTTAGCCGAACACTTCTAGAGTCACTTATAATTCTTTGCGAAAACAATCGGCTATTATAAATTAAATGGCATATGCATTTGACCATTCTTTTTAATTCCTTCTTATAACTTTATAATACTAAGAGAACGTAATAAATAAGAAAAAGACCATTGTATTTTTCGTCATATATTATTACGATAAACGGGAAGATACGTAAATTCTTATCCGACGATAGATGGAGTGTTACTCTTTTTCGAAATATTCTGACTGGATGATATATTTATGTATGCTTTATCCGTTGGGCATGCATTTTATATCCTCGCAGAGAATATTATAGTTTGGCCTTGAATTACGGGCATTTTCGATTCCATAAGCTATTTATAAATATTATTGATCGGGACGACAAACTGTGTTGATTAAGCGATATCCGTCTCCAAGTGGCCGTACATACATATGTTATATATCATATGCTTTTGAGTATTTTTGATCACAATTATGAGTGGAGTCTTACTTAGCTTGATTTTACAGTGAAACTCCTTTGAATAATATTTGAGCCTGGAAGTTTGAATTGCCGAAACATTTTATAAATATTTTCTCAAAGTAAAACGTTTTCATTTTAAATGTGTTTGACACGTAGATTATGGGCGAACTCTCGTTAGCAAAACTCAAGAATAAACTTGCAAAATCTTTATTATACAAATTAGAATAAACTTATTTGTATTTAATCAAAGTTAACCGAATATGAACTAGAGATTCTTTGGCCATGCTCGGTCCAAGATTTGTTCATTAAAATTTTCGACATATTTCCCGCCGGTGAAAAAATAACAAAAACTAATTCAAATGAATTTTTAAATAGTTCTTTGAGACATTTTCCACATTGCATGGTGAAATTTTCGGAAATGGATAAAACTAAATTTTCTGCTCAAATAACCAATTACCCCCACTTTTCCCTAGGATGGTGCATTTTCTAGTATGTGTGGAGCACGGCTTAAGTGAATCGTCATTAATATTATTCCAAATGTGTTGAAGCCCGACTAAGGCATGAATTTGAACAAAGACCTTTCGAACAAAGTTTAAAGTCAATTTTTTGACAGTAAAAAAAAAAAAACAAATACTATATCGTTGGTTCAAAACGGATTGAATCAAACTACATGTTGAAGCAAGTTCGAATGTTTGTAACAGAAGCTATTCGCTGTGGTCATTTGCTAAAATTGTAATACTCTTCGAAAGAGTACACACTGACGAACTGGATAGAGTTATCCTTATGGTAGATAGCAAGCAGAACGACTCGTAAAGGAGCGAGCCTCAATAAAATCGTTTTTAGGTGAAGAATTCGAATTACATATTACATTACATAGCATCCTCAACAGAGGAAGGAAGTAAGAAATATCCAGAGCATGTGTAGGCACAGCAGCGGGCACTGAGCCGGAGACGGAACAGGGATTGGGCGGGAGCCGCGCGTTGAACATGTGGAAACTTCTTCTAAGAACCTGGCATCAGCGTCGCGAACATTTTCATTTCTTTCTATTTCCCGCACATTGAATTCCCAAGGAAAATGCAAACGTGCAGCCGTTTCTCAAATGTCCGCTGGCAGTTTCGTGGAATAGCCAGCTCCACGAGTGCGAGTGCTCCATATTACGTACGCCTGTGCGTCTGCATGGGCTGACTTCCGCTGAGATCACATATGGAACTGGCTCTGAAGGCTATTCACGGGTTGACAGCATAACTTGCGCTCTTTGTTGGTTCTAGATTGTGTTCGCCAGGGGCTTTTAGTCCCAAGAATCGATGCCGTCGGCACAGCACTTATTCAAATGAATATTTTGTCAATGTAACTGTGATCTCTTTCAACTTAATGCAGCTTTCTTATATGATATATGACAAGTCAATATAATAGTAAAATGTATATAAATCAAGGAATCTACATTTGAATTCTTTCCAAAACATATAAAAATATATATTAGTCACATAACATACAAGTTGTGCCTTTAAAAACACTGAATAAACATTCTATGTTCCATTTCTTTTTAAATTAATTCTAATTTTGTGTCATCTTCTTGCTTAGCAAGCGATTTAATGTGAGTTTAATGTATTCTTTGTGAATTACTATATATATATATAAACTTATATATATATACTTATATATATATATCTTCTCTTCGTTGGATTAGTAGGCTTTCTAGCCTTAGTCTTGTCTTTGCGCGTCTGTCTATGGCTTATATTCTCTTCATTGTCATTATTTGTATGGCCTGCACTGTTCTGCAATGTTCTGCAAGTGCGGTTGACATATTTTTCCTTTTGCTGCATATTCCGCTGCACATCTCCCCCTCTTTTGCGATGCACTTTACTTCATATAATTCGTGTTGCTGTTCTCTCCATGTGTTTGAGTGCGCTTTATATACAATTTTACTTGTTGGGTGGTTGCATTTGTTAACATTAGAATTGCAATAAATCTGTATTGGTATTCGTAAGGTGTTCTACAACAGGTACGCTGATATGCTGCTTTTTAGTTTTGCTGACTTCGTTGTTTCCTTCATATATATGTTATTCGGATAATAATTTTGAAGTAGCATTGTTTGTTAGCCAAGCTTGGAAATTTATTACAAATTCTAAGAAATTGATAGCATTTAAATAAGTAGTACTTTTCATACATTTCTACGAGTGTCTGTTCTGTTGCAAGATTTTAAATCGATTTGTAGCGCATATTTATATATGTATAATTATATAGTTATGTGTAGGTGCTATAGGTTGTGTTACAGATGAAGATTTTCTAGTATTCAGCTGCCACTTAATCCTTAACTAACATTGTAATTTTCAAGTGGACATTTTGATTTCAATGGCGGCAAAAACAAATATCAAACTTTGCTGGCTCGTCCGGTGGAGGGGGCCCAAGATAAGGAACACAAACTTATGGAGAAGCGTCCCTGAAGCTTCACGTGCACTCCGGGATTAGTTGGAGGCCAATTTATTTTATGTCCTGAGGCACAAACATAATCATGTCTAATTTTGTTTACTTTCAAAAATGTGTGTGTGCGTGAGTGTATCCATGTGGCTGACATGGCTGACGCTGCATGGACGAGCATGTTGTGTCTACACGCGTGGGTGACTGTGTGTGAACGCTCCGCAGTTGTTGATGCCCTCTCTGTGCTGCTGTCTCGCAACGACAATGGCAACAACAACTACAGCGTTCATTAACTAAATTTAGAGTGCGACGGCTGTTGCGGCCACGGAAGGTTAGTCGGAGAGGCCTGGGGCCGGGCACTGTCGTCGCAGTGTACAATGGCACCCCGGCAGGAAATTACATATTTACATGGAGAAGAAGAACAACAGCAACTTAGGGGAGGATTGAGTAGACAGCATTGCCCGCACCCTGACAAAACGCAAGTTACGCAATCGAAGCAAGGCAGCGCCAAATCAGAATGCCATGGCTGGCGGTCTTGGTCCTCTTGGTCCTTGGGCCATTTCGCACTCTAACCCACTCCCGCAAGAGGGTGTGGCTGCTTTGTTGTGCAGGGGCAAGAGGCTTAAAGGGTGCCAGGCTGGCGCGTGATGCTTGTTGTTTTAAAATTGCGTGCTGCAATGTGGCGGAAAGTCTGGCCTCGAGTTGAGCTGGCGGTTGGTTGCGTGCTGAAGTGCTTAAAAATGGGGAAATGTAAGGGGGTCTTTTGCCAGGGGGCGGCAACCCTTTTGGGTCACATTTTTGAGCAGCACAAATGAAATTGTATTTAATTTGGCCCGAATAGGAATGCAATAATTTTGGGAACAAAAGTCCCCGCACAAAACGGGAGCAATTAAAATGTTTAATGAAATTTGGCAAAAAGCCGTTTGTGTTGCGGATTGTTTCGAAAGGCATGGATATATTTTAATTATTTTGACGTTTGTTTTACGGCCTCTCTCTCTAGCATCTGTCTGTATCTCTGTCTGTCTGTCTTACAAGGCAATCGCAATGGCCGCTAAGACAGGGCGACCTGGGGCCCCAAGCTCGCAATCACGGCCTCTTTCATATGCATTGGACCACAAGATTCCAATCCACGCTGTTTTTACCACTATTGGGGCTACCAGTTGGGGCTACACACGTTGCCAGTACGACGGCAATGCGGTTTCGTTTTTTAAGGCTATGGCAATAGTAGTCGTGAAATCGGATTGCGTGTAGCTATAAATTTGTGATTTTAATGCGCGTTATTAAACTGCAAGCAGTTGCAGCCCCTGCCAGTTGTCGGGCTAGGCCAATAAAATGCAATTAATATGTTCCGCCAACCTGCAACAAAGTTCTTGCTTGCCGCGGATAACTTGCTGCTCTTGAAGCTCGCACAAACCACTCCACGAGTTGTGGCAAGCGCAGCTGAATCAAAAACAACATCCACCAATGGCAATATCAAGAGCAACCACTACTGATCGCACGCCTCTATCCTCACGGTTGCCATCATCATCGGTGACTCGGTGGAGTGCAGCGGCGACCCTTTGTCTTGGACTCCATTTTGCACACTTCGATTAAGCCAGAGCTTGGAATTTGCATTGTAAATTCTGCGATATAATGCCCGATAATAGGCTGGACACTCACCGCTCACCGCTTACCAGTTGCCAGTTGCCAGATGCCCGCACACCCCCTGTGAATGCGGTTCGTTATCTTCGAGCGCACACACACAAGTCACGTCGCCTAATTTATACGACGGCGACGGCAAAAAGCTAAAATATTCAAAAAACGTGTCTTTCGATTTTTAATGGCTGCGCATAAATTTCAGCATTAAGACTCGTAATAACTTCATTACACAAACTATATTTTGGGAAAAACAAAGCCGGCCACACGCGGCACTTAAAATGTCAACTTTGAGCTGCCATTGCCCAAGAATAGTACAAAAGAATATTCAAATGTCCATTCACAGAAATTTAGATTTGTGTTCAGAATTGCTCCCACGCACCGAGTTGTGCCAACTTTATATATTTTCTCTGTATTGAGTTTTTTCCTATTGCCTTCTAAAGGCAAATTATGAATTATAGATTTAAGCCAGCTTCGAAATGTAATTTAAATGTCTTGATACATTTTAACTGTAATCCTCTTCAAAAACCAAATAGTATGAGTCAACTTTTATTAATTTTTACAAATAAAAACAATTATTATTAATAATAAACAAGAATGAAATGGAGAGTGAATCACAGGGAATGCACGAAAATACGGGTGCTAGAATATTAAGTTTTTCTTATATCAAATTAAAAATATGTATTTTTTTTTATAAAAGCAAACAAAAGGGGTATCTCTTCTGCCATTGAAGCAAAATAATTTATATGAGCGGCATTTAATATTTATTAATTGGCATCGCAGGACTTTATTTAGTGCACAAAAAGATTCCGTTTATTTCAAATGTTTGTTGACCATGTCTCAAAACTTTCAAGGGCTAATTTGTAAGAGTCCGTATAGTAATAACACTGACTGACAATTTGTTTTATTTACCTTCCCAGATCCCAGCAAATATTTCTTATAACCCTTTTGCGTTTAAGCACTTTGATTTTCATTCATTTATTCGCTGATATGTTTATCAATCGGTTGTGGTTAAATCAGAATAGAGAAATATGGATAGTTCTGTTCCAAAATCAAAGATTACAAACTAATCATTCTAATTTCGATTTTTACTATTCATATCGCGCTGCATGGGCGTAGCTTGCATAAGGCAAGACATAAGGCACTGATAATCAGGGAACATATATCGACAATTGAATAACTATGAAAATAGATTAATTGACTTATATAAAACGATTTTTAAATAATTTCTTCGAGTTAAAAAATTGTGTACATCAACCTGATTTTGCCTTAGGTTACGAAGCAGTGGAATATATAATTGGGTACAGCCAGGCGTTTCCAACAGGCCTTCTCTTTGGCAAAGCTTGGATAAAAGCGTAATTCCCGCCGCCCTTTGTTTGCATTCCCTCCTCTCAAGTCGGTACGAGTTGGTGTTCGTCAGTCCACAAAAATCCTGACTTAACACGAGCGGCACAAATCTCATTTTGTATGCAGCGTCTGCCGCTGATACGCGCAGTGGGGTTAGGACGCGGGTTGTGGTTCTGTTTCTGTGGAGCTGCTTGGGCTTTGGGGTCGAATACAGCGACAATGCCGAGGTGTTGATAGAATAATACAGGGCGTGAATTTTTAGTCGAAATATTATACGCACACACGCATACACACAGATATACACACACGTATGCGACCAGCACGTAAACAAGTCCGGGCTTATACATATTTAAGTCCCATAAAGAAAATATCAAATGGCTGCCTGATTCACTGCATCCCTTTCGCTCCCATAACCGAAGCGACTAACAATCAGTGGAGTTCTCCCCGTGCGTATATGAGTGACTATTACGTGAATACACACGTGCAGTGAGGGGGAATAAAAGTGCGACGGGGCTGGGATAAATGCACATATTAAATTTGAAACGTATATAGAATTTTTGATCAGCCCGCGACAGCAGCAAGCATTATATTGAGAGGGAATCAGAGGGTAGGTATGGGAAACGGGTTGGTGGTAGGACATCCAGTGTCATATGGTGCCCAGGCGCATACACGGCTTTATAGGAAAGAGTGACACCCATTTTCAAGGAATACTAGTTGGCAAATATGTAGCCAGGGATGCCATTGCCGACGCCTTTGCCTATACTTTGCGATAGTCAATGCTATTCGTGCCCATCTTGGGGCAGTTACAGGGCACTTTTAGCATCCGGGTGATTCGTTGCGGCTTGATTGCCCTGTTCCAAGTTGACAAGCTCGGTCACGGGTACCCTTTTGAGCATATCAACCCACTCGGGGGGATCGGCATAGCCGCTGAAACTTGTGTGCATTTTGATAGAGCGCCTCTTATCCGATCCATTACTTCGATGGATTTATAGGTATTAATGTTGAGTTCCTTTTTTCTTTTCTATCAATTTTTATGCTTTTAGGTGCTTTTGTTGTTTGTTTATCTCTTCTCAGTTCGGTCTCCCCTATGTGTTTGTGTGCATTTTGAAGATTGTCGTGCCTCAGAGTGGTCTTCGTTTGATGCCCTGCATGCCGATGAAAGCAGTCTCACATTGCGAGGCTCCGTTCTTAAGTTAAGCTGTGCTTTGCTGTTAAACAAAAAGACATATTTTGGATCTGTATAAATGACACGACAGAACACCAAATCTATAATCCATTCATTATAATCTACGGGATATATAGAAAATTTATATTTCTTGATAAGTTGGAAAAGTAGTCTCTTTTCTTTGATTACATCAGTTAGCATTTGTTTTAGCTTTAAAGCTGCGAATGCTCTGTTTATTTGTATTTACCTCTCTCTCCCTCCCTCTTTTTTAATGTCTTTGTCTGTGCCATTTGCCCTGTCATGCTTACAGAGCGAAGGCTACAGAAAGTTGTTAACTTTTGGGCTGCAAATGATTTCTAGCAGAGGGTAAACGGATATATCGGCAATAAGTTACATAAGCGAGCCTTAAACACAAACAATCCTTTTGTGCATATAAACGTTGCAGACGCACCCCGGTGGCACGGCCGCTTTACGTCCCGACAGTTCGGCAGCCCTTCATCCTGTATTCCCAATCTCTGGAATCGACGTACCTCCCTCAATACGCTGCTCTAATTTCATTGTTCACGGTCTCTTCGCCCTTTGTTTAAGTTTTGAATAGCCCGAGTTCCATATTTGTGCATAAGCAAAAGTGGAAATACGAAAGGCGGCTGGCGAAAGGGTTCGTCTAACCGTCGCATCCATAAATCAGTTGGGCATCGACATCGCATCGGCATCGCAATATGCGTAAATGCAATAAAATCATAAAACGAATTGTGTAAGGCAACTAGGACGAGGGCAAGACGACTAGCGGGGCGCAAAGAATGCTAAACAGAAAATTTGAATCTCGCCTCTAGCCCCGGGAGCTGTTACAGTGTCTGTACGCCGGCATTTAGCTCTACGGCCGATTGCCTTTTATGGCCCGTCGCGTTAACTGGACGCAAATAGAGCTCGACAGGAGCTGTGACTGAAAACTCAAAGGAATCGGGAGCAAGGCTTGGCTGAGGCTGGGCAACAGAAAGCAGCAGGTTCGACTTGAGTACTGTGACATTTTTGTTATATGTATGTGTTTAGATGTACATATTTTGATTTGATGCGCGTGCAGCTTATGCTCTTGTTTAAGCCTTGGCGCATAGACCTGGGCATCTGCCAGTCACAGATGCAGTTACAGATAAAGATACAAACACAAACACAAATACAGATTTACCCTCGCTTTGTGCCTGGCAGCACCAAACTCGTAAAATGCTTTTGTACAATACAAACCAGGCAACCAATGATGTTCGTATCTCCTCATTCCCCGTTCAGCATCTTTTTGGGTGAGCGGCTAATGGATGCTGGTATGGACATGAGCATGGGGCATGGGGCATGGTGCATGGGGCATGGGGCCGCGTCTGTTAGATGCATATGTAAATTTAACGTATGCAAATGCGCATCAACCGCTGTCGCTGTTGTCTTCGCCTGTGCATCCTCGTCTTCAACGGACCAGAAATGTTGGGGGATTGTCGAAAATTCACGGAATTCATTCCAAGTGCCCCATAAAAGTGTCACATTTTATTTGGTCAGCTCGGAGTTGTCATCATCGCCGGTAATGCCAAGCATCTGATTAGGCCGTATAATCATAGAAACACCCAAATGAGCATTTCGTTTGTCAGATGAAACGCAATTTTCCAGAGGCGGAACCACATTCCCCACATGCCCAAAGACTTGTATGCTGAGTGCAAGTACAAATGCACAAATACACATAGATAGTTTATATGTATCCTTAAAATTATTTTTAAAATATCTTCCTCGATACTGGAGGTGAACAAACTGCAAAGCTGCAAAGTTATTCTCCGATTCAACACGTATACAATGAAATTCCTTTGGCAATCGCAATTGACTTGGAGCTGTTTGTTTGCGCAGAATTCTTTCCATAAACAATGTACAAATGTTTTTTTGGATTTTAATATATTTGCCCGTTTTTTGATACCGTGACTTTGGAGGGCATCCAATTTGAGAAGCTCTTTTTACTGCCGCAGAACCGATTAAAATACTTCTGGAATATATTTTAAATTTCATCAGTAACTTAATTTAACTTTTCCCAGTGTCACATATTTGTTCACTTATTGTTGAGTGTTTTTAGTGTAATTATACAAATGTAGTTTAAATATGTAGGCTTTTAATTATACATATATCAATAGCTTAAGTCGATTATTCATATTTGGAATGTGTGTGTTTAATAACGTAGCTATAACTTTGAGCATATAGATAGATCCTGCCAATAACCTAGTTAAATCGTTCTAACGTTAAAAATATTCTAGGTGTAAGAGTGCTCCCCTTGTATCTGTTGATTGGTCGTGTTGGTAATGTCGATGTAAGGAAACATTGACTGAATACAACAAATATTGGTATCACTTATGTTTCATAAAGAGACTCTTGAGAAGTTGAGAGTTCTCTTTTCCTCAAACTACAGATTCGAAATGCAAAAGCTGCATTAACACAAGGATCGTGTTTTTGGGCAGTTCGCCTTAGGCTGCGTGTCTGCCGTTGCTTGCAATAAATCCAAAAACCATAATCGGGATTTATGGATGCTGTTTTTGTTGCTGTTGGTGTTGCTTCTGTTGTTAATGTTCATGATGTTGTAGGGCTGGTGTCGGCGGTGCTTCAAACATTTTTATGATGTCTCTGCAGCATTTATGAGCGCTATGAGACTGGGAATGGGGCGGCGCGTGTTAGTCGAGGTAGCACAGCCACCTATATTACGCGCTGGCCATAAAATCGGAATAATTTGCAACAGGTGATAATTGTTTTACAATATTTATGCGGGAATGGATATTGAACGAAAGCAACGAACAAGTGTATTTATAAGTGACTTCAGGATCAGTCATAAATGCGTATTGATTTTAAATAGTTTACTGAATTGGCCCAACTGAAAATATAAGAAATAAACCGAGAAATAACACTCATCTGAAATCGTCATAAATTTTTGTTATGCTAATAAAATTGAATGAATATAAAAGATATAAGCATTTAAGATCACTATTAAGATGATCTAAAGATAAATACACAATATTTTGTTTGGCCAATTAGTCACACGCTACATTAAGTGATTGATTGCGGTTGATGTGCCAAATGTGAAGGCTCGCCTAGAATTGCTGGCAATTAAAAAATTGTATAATTAATTGCGATTTGGATTATTTACGAGGGCACTACTTTGGTTCATGGACTGAAGGGAACTCCTCATTTCTGTGCAATACTGCTACGACTTTTATTGTCTTCAAATTAATTAACTATTATTAATAGTGATACTCTTGTTAGCAGTCGGGTGATGGTGATGACGGTGTCATAATTCACGTAATAAACGCCACTCACTTTACTCGGCTTTGTCACACCAACCTGGTCCACTGTGGCAGCACATAAACCGCAACAACAGCTACAATGCCAGCAACAAACAACGAGAACGACGGCGGGCGTTGCTATCTTGGGCCTGGCCCATAATTCACTCGCTCAAACACTTGAATGGCCTCGCACTCGTAAAAACGGGCGAGCGAGAAAAGAGTTTTACAATCGTTTAAAAACTCGTCAAAAAATTAGGCCTTAAAATATTGTACGATTTGCGTTTGGCGATTGCAGGCGACGAGCATCAATAGACACCACCGCCCACTCACTGGATACCACAGACCATAACCACATACACAGCAGGATCCACACCCACATCAATACCCAAGTCTGATATGCAGCGTTCCTGTGCCCCACTCTTTAGCCCCCACTTCTAGTGTCTGTGCCGGCGTGGTCGCTTTTATGAGCCTACAAAATATTTTTATATTAGCAATAATTTCACTAGGCACACGGATGGGATTGTGGTGGCGCGGGGATTGGTGCATGGCACTTAATATGCGCAAACAAAAGCAACAAAAGTGGATGTGATTTGTTGTACGTTTTAAGCGTCGTTTGAGTTGCTTTGACATTTTATTAGTAATTCATCGCCGGCAACAACAAAAGCATGCCAAACAATTAAAAAACGCTTAATTTTATTATCATTTTCAATAATTCCACAAAGTGCGCTTGCATTTTTTAAGCATGTTATAAGTATTTCCATGATTTTTGATCTCCTCTCTGTACAGCCTCTCATTGCCTTTTCTACCGCTTTGTATTCTTCTACTCCCAATTGAAGTGGGCAGTCCCTGCTGTGTCAGCCATTGGTCTTGCATCTCGCTCTAGTCAATGCGTAACAGGGCTGCGATCAACCGATCGTCGCCTCGCTCTTACCAATGTTCCTCAGTAACAGCAGAGCAGAGCAGAGCAGACAGAGCAGAGCAGCAACAGCAACAGCATGCCTGCGTGTTTGTTGGCTATGGTGAGTTTTGCTGGTTGTGTTGAGTTTGTCATTGCGACGGCGGCAGAGACGCAGCCATTGAATAACATTTTTTGTTTTTAGTTTTTTTTCGTTTTGTTTTTGTGTTTGTTGCAGCTGCTGCACCTATTGCCTATGAACATACAATATACACATATGTATGCATGTATATATCTCTTTATGTACTTCCAACGGATGCATCATTTAAAAAGGTTATTTTTACATATGTAGGTTAATATGATATACTTTGATTTGAATAGTTTTTAGTATTTTCAATAATTGTTTAATCGTGCTGCAAATAATTTTCTTAATTAATAGAAAGAATTTAAAGCGCAACTGTTCTTATGGGAAACGCGTTCGGCTTGAGTGTTTTTTGACAGATCTTTATGAGATTTTCCTGAAAGAAAACTGAGAGAAATTTGACTCTCTAGCTGATAGACGCTTTTATACATAAAGCGAGACAGACGGACGGCCAATGCCAGATCGAATATTTGCGTTGTCTTTATGAAGTCGGAAACGTCTTCTTCTGCCCGTTGCCATTTGCACAAATTATAATACCCTTTTTATTTTCTTGTTAAATTTGTATTGAGAATACAACTGTTTTTAGTTTTAAGTGAAGTTCCAGATTTTAAAGAAGTACATTTTTATATTTTAATTATATTGAACTATGATTAAAAATTAAAAAATTTGACACACGCGTTATTTGTATGTAAAAATGCACAACGTTAAATGCAAATAATAAGCATGTGTTTTTTTACAAAGCTTAAGCCAGCCCCTTATCCGCAATTACGGCAAACAAGGCAGCCCAAACGTTTTAACCTTTTGAGCTATTTCAATCAGCCTCCAACTGAGTCACAGCAGAGACAGAGGTGCGGCTTAACGACGTTGCGCATTAGTAGCTGAATGCATTTCCCCGCCGACTTAATCGCCGCACAGTTAAATTTATAAGCTCTTAGGAATTAAATGCAAAGCTCAGCATGACATCTGAGCGTGCAAGCGAAAAGAAATAATTAAAATAATATTAAAAATTAAGACAATTACTCGGCGGCCTCCGACAGAGCAGAAACATTTGCCACATTCAACTTTACTTAAGTGCCGGACCTCAGGTGAACCTTTGCGGGCACACACACACACACACACACACAAACACACAAGTCGAGGCTGGTAAAGTGAGCTGCAAATCGCATTTAAAAAGTCAAGTTTTTAACTATGTTTTGTATCTCTGGGGTTTTGTTTTTTTCTGGGGTACAAATTTCGCGTAGCTTTTGAAATGTCTGTCACACACGCACACACATGCACACACAAATACACTTGCATATACAAATGCACACGCACTCGCGGGACCCACATGTGGGTCTGATGTCGAGGCCGCATTGATGTTGACGTCGCTGCTTGCTGCTTGCTGCGTGGCAAGCAGCGTGTTCCGTGCCCCCGACTCCGCACTGCGCAGAAAGTTAATGGACCGTGCATGTTTTTCCCTCAGCCGTGGCGCTTAACATTATTTATGGAGGATGGAAAATTACTATTTTGCTCTCTTTTCATTTCAACTTCCTTTTCAGCTGCAGCTCTTTGGCCGTCAGTGGCGGGATGCCTTTGTTGGTTTTGTTGCTACAGTTGCATACTTCAAATATTTGCACAAGTTTCTTCTTGCGCTGACTGCAGTCCCGATGTTTGTTTAACCATTTTGTAATCCAGTCAGCCATAAAATTTGACAGCTCTTTTGCGGCACCGCCATTTCTGTTGATAACTGAATTTGTCTGATTGCTATTGATTTTGTCATTGCAACTAACTTGACTTTACACTTATCCAGAGGCTTAATGGCATGGCCTAATGCTATAGGACTACATATTCGATTGGTTGTGCTCATACTAAGGGTTGATAATCGAATAGAGTACTGAAACATATGAATTACATTTTCATTTTACATTCTAACTGTAGCAAAGGGATGGGACTTAAATAATTGCTTTTTTTTGGGATACTATTCCTTGTAACTGAATAGGTCTGCATTTGAAAGACTTTGAATTCTAAAATATCGATCATAATTTTGATCTAACACAGCATTACGTCTTCAAATTGAGCCTGCCTAGCAAGAAATCATATTCATCCAACTGTTAAAAAAAAACAATAACAACTTTTTATTTGATGTATTAAAACAACCATCGCGTGGACGTTTCTTTCTAATACTGAAATATTTAAGATTGTCAAATGCTGTTAATATTCTTGAGTTGGTGAAGTTTGTATTCGGGCAACCATGGGGCAAGTAGCATAGCTCAGAAGAACTGGTTTATCTCACTTATTTGGGTTCCGGCCTCCATCTCCTTTCTCCGAATTTGACCAGCTCCAATTAAACCTGCACCAGTCAGTTTTTCTGGCCTGCCAAGGTACAAAGATCGCTTGCTTGTATGTGTATATATATGTGTGTGTGTGTGTTTCAGTTTTGTTGTATTTGTTGCTGTTTCTTTAATAAAAATAATTACTTGATTTTTGTTGTTGTTGTTGTTGTTGTGCTGCTTCTTTGCTCTTGCTTTGTTTGTTGCTGAAAGCCGCAAATTTGAAGCGTTTTATGGCCGCGTTCGTTTCGTTTCGTTTCGTTTCGTGTTTGTACATTTGCCCACCGGCTTCACTTCCTACTACCCGCAGCCTTCCATCCACTTGCAGTGACTGGCGACCTGTACTGCTGCTGCTGACGGCCATTTTCGAATCAAGCGCTTTTCCCACTCGCCAGTGACGGCCAGTGCGGCGTCCAGTGGACGGTCACCGCTCGTTTCGCCGGTTTGGCCGCCAGATTGCAATCTAAATGGGTTTTTTTTTTTGCTTTCCTCCGTTTTCATAACTTTTGCCGCGGCGGCAGCTTTCAATTTATGAAACACGCTTATTACTTGCCACGCTGCCTTCGACCCCCCTTGGGAGGCAAGTGGGAGGGTTGTTCGCGGCGGCAGCCCGCTCAACTTGTTTGCTTGCGTCAGGTAACAAAGCAGCCGCAATCGGCCCGCCTCAAGGCCACGCTCCGAGGATCGGGGCGGGGCAGTTGATGTGCGCGCCGCTGATCACCGTATGTATGTATGTACAATTATGTGTGTGTATGTACTTATGCATGTGCATGTGTGTATGTTCGTTCATGGCCAGCAGTCGTCGCTAGCCACGGCAACAGCATTAGCAAACAGTCAGCCCCGACTCCGATACCCCGCCAGCGGCTTGGTCCGTTCCCCGATGCCTCGCTGCCCTCTTGTTGGCTTGCCGCTTAGCCCCGTTGGCCAATTACTCACAACACTTTGGCAAGATTTTTCTAAACTTTATTTTTTCTCTCGCCTCAGCCGCTGTTAATTGCATGTGTTGTTTTTGTTGCTGCTACTGCTGCTGGCTGGGTTTTAATTGTGTTTTCCAGGTTTTTAATTAAAGCTTAACTTGATTTTCGTTTAAGTTGCAATTTTAGAGCTGCTTTTTTTGCACTTGATGCTGAACAGGTTTGATTGGCAACCACAGCGTTGTCAGCCCAAACGGGTTTGCAAACACATAGGGATGCCAACGACAGCGGCAGCAGTAACAACAACAACAACAACAACAACAACAACAACAACAACAATTACTTTTGTTATAATGGCTTCTGCTGAGATTTATGTTGCTTTTCTTACAAAAATCTGTTTAATTCGGTCTCAGACTCTTGCTAGATTAGGCAGACTGATTTACCCATAAATCTCAAAAACTTGTAATTTTAGGACATACATCTAATTCTATCTGTCAACATTAAAGCAGGAAAAAACGGCATGTCTGTATATTAAAATTAAATTAAATGAAATAAAATAATGTTTATTTTTGACATAAGCACATCGAAACTCACGTGAAGAAAATATTGCCTTATGCTAATACACATATCTCTGGCAATTTATGATTATAAGAAGTATTAATGAAATACAAGGATTTTCGAATTATTACATTTTTTTTGTTTATATAGAAACTTAATTAGGTTAAAAATGTTAGTGCTAGAAAAAGAAATAAATCTGTTTTTATTTATTATATGTTGAGCCGATTATCTGCTACCTGACGCTCAAACACCTCAGAAAAGCAGATAGGATTTAATTGGCTCCGTTGGGCTCGTCAACTTTTTTAAAACCCTTTTCAGCGCTCGCTTTCGACCCACAAGGAGTCTTCATTCCCTTTTGGGCTGTGCGTTGATCACCAATTAGTCTGGACAAACTCTTTTGTTCATGTTCAATTCATGGGAATTGACGTTTTTAGTAATTTATGTACTTCGTTGAGCAGCTTTAAGTCGAAGGAAAAACTCTAAAGCACGTCTCCAATAAATGTTCACTAGTATCTTTGAAAACAAGTTTGAGGACGATCGGATGGAAAATAGAAAACTTTCATACAAAGCTTTTCCGTCATTTACACATAAGGTTAATACCGTAAAAATATGAGGCTTCTAGAGCTTAGATGGGCAGTCAGTCAGGAGGAAAAGTTTTGTATATAGACAAGAATATAGTTACTGTATTGTTAAATAAAGTTTTGTTTAAATTATGCATTATATGAGCAGGAATTATAATAGTTAATGCAGGGTATTCCTTTGTCGAATAGGTTCAACAAGGCATTTTAACATGATTATATCTGACCTAGAATGGCGGCAATTTTGAGCAACGTTCTCTTCCATTTTTATTTGTATTTCTATACAACTCCTCTTGCGACACTTTATGAAATGGCGACAGGGACAAGGGTCTGGAGCGTGGCCAACTATCCGTAAAGTTCGTTGAGGCATGAGAAGTAGTTGGGACTTTTGGATTGGATCTTCTTCCGACGGAGCCGTGTACACCAAGCATATTTGTATATATAACATATGTATATATATATAGCTTATATATATATGAGTGTGCTATATGTTCATGTTTATTTTTGAATAAGCGCACACAAAGTTAACACGCACCTATACACGTGCACAGGCAACACACAGGGCACAAATGTTATAATTAAAATAAAATAAAATGAAGAAAAAATATATATATTGTGAACTTTGTCGGCGAGCTTTAATATGAGGCTGAACCGAATTTCGCTTTCATTTCCACTCCGCCCCCATGTCTAGTGCTGCTCGCTTCCAAGATCGCAAGATCGCGCGCTGCTTTTTAAATGTTCACTTGTTCGCTGCTTCGCCAGCCGCTCTCTGGATGCCCCAGCCCCAGTCCCAGCCCTAGCCGCAGCCGCAGCCCCAGGCCATGCCCCCTTACCCTCTGCGTCCATCGGTAGGGCAATAAAAACCAAAATAACACTATGTAAAAATGTTTTGTGTGTTTCTCTGTGTGTTCCCCCGGTGAGATCTTTGCATTAACTTGACGTGAGAGCTGACTTGGGCACGGCGTTTGTCTCTTGGCTGGCTCGAGACTCGCTCTCGCGGCATTCGCGTTCGCATTCGGTTCGCCAGTTTTCGGGTTTCGTTTCAGTTCAGTTTTTGTCTAAACAAAAAATATTGAATTTAATTTTTTTAGTGTTAGTTGCTCTCTAACAATTTCGGAGTCGTTATCTCGCATGCGCGTCGCGGATTTCAATTTCTGTGCATCGTCTCGTTTTGGCCCTTGCCTTGGGGCCTGTGTGCGTGAGTGTCTGTGTTAATCCCTATTTAGATTACGAATCCAACCAACCCTATCCCCCTCATAGCCGTCCCACAATCGCGCGTTCCTTAAGCTCCCATTTCCCGTTTTGGCCAATTTTGAGCATCCATCGATGGGACCTTGGTGCGTGATTTGACTGCGCGCGAGTGCCCAGCCACTCATAAATGATGTCGTACAACTTGATATCGATAGTCAGAGGTATTATCGCTGGTCGGGTCGCTGCGGCTAATGGCAATAAAAATCAGTGCTTCATGTATTATGATGTTTAAAACTTAATGAATCGATACAATAACACAATAATACTACAACAATAATTAAATAACTGCACCAAATTTACGACGCTTAAATTCGTTATTGTGTGTTTTATTTTTAGTTTTACGAGGGCTCCAATCTAAATAAACATTACGTTGGCCGCCCATAATTTGTATTGATTTGTATAAATTATTGAGCAACCTTATCAACGCCTCGAGTCGGTGAGTTCAATGCAACTAATTCATTTAAGTTGTATTCTAAATGACAATTAATTATGAAACAGCATTTGTGGTCATGTTAAATTAATAAATTTATATATATATAGGTGCTATTATTTATAATTCAATTATGCAACAGCTTTTGTGGTTATGTCAACTTAATATATATACTACTACCAGCTGATATTTCCTTGCTCTACCCGGTCGAAGCTCGTGGAAAATTTAAATCTATCCACTATTGCAAACTTCACGTCACGAAATGAACTTTCGATTGACATTCGACTTTTGCCCTGAAATTTGTGTCAAAAGTGGATGAATTTTGCGAAATGCTTCGCAAACATATATTAAAAGATATTCGAAATGAGTTTCAAACCGATCTGAGCAAAAATATATTTAAGTTTGCTTAAAATCCATGAAACATAATTCATTAAGTTCTTATCAAAACTTCCACCATTTGATTTTCATTTTCAACCGAGGACTCAAGTGAATTTTCTTAAAGATCCTTGGAAATTAATTTGAACGAAGACCTTTAGTTCGTTTAGTTAGGCCGTTGGAATGTACAAAATAAGAATACTAGCTTACTCTATCACATAAGGTTATTATTGTTTCGTTTTGAAACTTGCGATTATTTATATCAAATAACTAATAACAAAAATATGGGTAGAGCTCTATTTACTAGCGGGAATAGCCACCGTGCCCGGACAAGATAATTTAGACTTTTCCACCCAAATTCCACTCAATATAAATTTTAAATTCTTCATCTTTACTGGAATCCCCAATTAGAATTAAGTTTCAAAAAACAGTTTACAAAGATATTTGAAAATAAATAAAGTCGATAACATGAAATTGGCAAGGTTGGTATTTGAAGTATTTATTAGTCATTAATTATGTAAGTTGGGTTATTTTGGCCTGCAATATCAATCAAACTCTTTCTTTGAGTCATATATAATATAGTCGGGCTATTGCAACTGATTTACCTATTTATATTTTCTTTTCTTTCTTTCAGTTTTCAAATATACAAATACGAAGACTAGATTCTTAACTTCGATTCGGTAAGTCTTTCTAAGGCTTGTAAAGCCCATTAGTTCGATAAATAGGAGCAGATATTGGTATGACTTTTAGATAAATTAATTGGTCACAAGATGGATTATATAGAATAAGTGTGTTATGAAATAGTAGCGCCAAGCTCCACTTGAGTCTTGAGGCATGACTTAAGCTCGGGCCTAGCCCAGCTGCTCGTATTACCTTTTGATTTTATGGCCAAAACAATTCGATTGCAGGCAGCAGTGCCAAGGGAACATTATTGTAACATAAAGTGGCCAAGCTCCATGGCCCCGTTCCCGACTCACTCTGTGGCATTTCGCCTGGTCTGTCCCCGCAATAGCTATAGCAGTCAGTGTGCAGGGCGTTAAAATGTCCAGCAAGCGAATCGGGCGGTATTAAAAATGGCAATAAATAAAGTAAAGTACGGCGAGTACATGATTTCCCTGTTAAGATGCCACACAGGACGAGGACGCGAGTGAGAATGACACTGGTTGGGCGTGGCTGGGGCAGTGTCCAAGCGGGCCAATTGTGGTAAATCGGAAGTTAAGCACGGCAATAAAATGACGCAATAAAAATCTATGAATGACACATTAAATCAATTGCCAAAAATCACAAACTCGCTGAAAAAGTCGCCGATGAGTGGATTTGTCTTGGGGTGCTGC